ATAGGACATTGTCATCATTATAACAAGCTTCCCGTCTTGCCTGTACAGCGTCCTCTCATACCTTATTGTCAAGTTGTCAGTTAAATGCTTACTTTTCTTCTCAGTTTTAGTATAAATGACGTTGTTACTGTTAATTCTGTGGAGTTGTTGTTCAAGCATTTGAACATAGTATCTGTGAATTCTAGGAGGAAGACTGATAGTGGAAGGAGGTGCGAATCTCTCATCTTGTATCCGATCCAGTCCATAACCGAAAAAGCATGAGCAGTTGTAGAAAAATACTACCATATTCAAGAAGTGCAGAGTAAAGAGACTGAACACTCTAGTGATAGTCTTATGGATGCCTACATCTAAAGCTACCAATTCAGTCTTTTGGAAAGAAGCATATCATAATAATACTGAAGGTTAAAGAATACCTGGCTTGTTGTGGGTCTCGAACCCATAGACCACATAGAATTGATTCTTAGCTATAGTAGCTGACTTAAGTGATGGAGAAGCCATGAAAACCAAAAGTTGTATTCAATTAAAGAAGCTAGGCAATCAATCTGTCAGGTGTACAGAAGCAATAAGATGAACAAAGCTGATCATTAGCATAGTTAGAATACAAGCGATCTTGGTGTTGTATCTAGAAAGTCTGTAGGTATGATACCTTTCTCGATCTGAGTTTCCACCTTTCTGAAATTAATCAGTTTGACGTATCAGCATTCATGAGGAAAGTAATGCTTTCTACATGATTCGAGACTGAGTCATTCAAAATTCAAATCGGAGACTTCCCCATTAAGCTATTCGGATCACAACTGACCCCCAGAAGGAGTAGGCAGCTAAATAGGTTATAATGCACAGTCAACTGATTTATGCATAGATATCATCACTTAAGATGATCGTGGATGGGTAAAATTCTCAGGATTTTGAGTAGCTAACATTCATTTATTAGTACAGATAACTGTAGAACTTAAATTTAGACGTGCGAAACCGGTTCAACTACCTAAAATATTACTAACAGTTAATAAAAGTAGTGCTTGGTATAACTTGAAGTTCAGTAAAGTCTGTTGCGTAAAAGAGAAATGGGAAGCAACCAATCGATTGAAAAAATTAGAATTTGTTAATTTAATAACCAAGGGACAGCCGCATCGGTCACTGACTGGCGACGGATTTTCACACTTTATCGAGTTCCTTCACAGATCCATCTTCCAATGGTAAAGTCCGGAACAGAGTGATGTGTATTCGAATTGCCGAGGCTCTAGTACCCGATGGTTGCATGCCCATCCAGCTAAGAAGTGCTAACAAGCACGAAATCTAGGTCCAAGATTTCAGTGTCTTCAAGCATCAAACATGATAACATCCACTTCGTGGTTCAAGTCCCCGTATTTGGGTTCCAGTTGCTTAAAGTCTCATTCAGCCAAAGAAAAACAGCTCCACTCAGGCAACATGAATTCGCAACCACTGTCTTCAACTGACTAACACTAAACGCACTTTATATCAGCTAACTGATCACAGTGGTTACTGAATGTGGCTCACCTTATTGATAAAAAGGCTAAGAACTAACACACTTCTTGATGTCAACCTCCCCTGTTTATTCAACTGATTTCAATCAAGATGAAACTTTAAAGCAATCCTTTTTTATGTTTTTTGTCCCAGTGGAAAAATTGTGCTTTTCCATTTTCAACTGATTTTTCAGATAAACCGGGTTTGTGTGATTTCAAAACATTATCTCTTTCCCTTTTCATTAATCTCTCTATTCCATTTTTGTTAATCTATTAAAGCTAACTCTGTTTACTTGTTTGAAACGCTGTTGTTTAACAAAGTTGTCTATAGAAGAATAATGAAAAAAGTGACTTGCATTTGATGACGAAGGATTGGAAAACTAAAAAGGGGAAGTCATCTGTGAAGGTATATATATATATATATATATATATATATATATATATATATATATATATATATATATATATCGTACTTTTGTTATTTAATTGAGGTGTGTAGAGATTAGGTCTAACGAATCTTTCTTTGTGCATATTTTGTGAGGATGTAAGTGTATGAAAGTGTGACGTTCGCTTTTGTTCACTTGATTATAAGAACAGGAAGTATCATTTCCTCTTCAGTGATACATTTATAATGATTCCAAATCGATCAAAATCTTTTTTACAATCGAACAATATAAATTATAATGTTTTCATGATTATTAATTACTCCCTATTAATCTCAGTCATTATATTACTGATGAGGCAACCAACCAGACAGGGGAGATGGAACTAGGCGACAACCTTTGCTTACGAACACACACTCAGACAAATAAACAGTTTATCAGCTGAAGTGTTAGACACAACTACAGTTTTATGTTACATCATTAAGACTATGAATGTTTGGAAGATACAAATGAGAAGGAACTGAAAACTGTACACAACACATTAAATGGAAATGATTATCAGAAAAGTGACAAGAACAGAGGATGTTCTAACGGCTGGCAGAAAATTGCAATGCACTCGGGTACAATTAACTGGTGACGTGATCAGCGAGATAGTTATTTACAAACTAAGGAGATCAATTCAGGCAATTTTTAATGGGGATAAATTACAAACTTTGTTTTCCACCCGCCAGTGGTAATACATAGACTGAGAAATGGATTGTCTAGACTGGTCACTTCCTTTTGTGGTTATCAGTTCCTATAGAACCAGTTATGTTGGCCGCTTCTTCATGCTTGAGAACACCTCATAGACTCATTCAGTAAAGGTGTGGTAAAGACCATTACCAGCTCTATAATAATCCGGTTAGTTCAAACGCTCCATAAAATGGATATAAATGAGTCGTTTTCCGTTCTTTACCAAGTTCTCATCAACTTACCAACTTATTTGGCTTCAACTTCATACTCAAGAAGCAGTGGACATCAAGCTAAAACAAACTAAGTTATGCGTTAAGAAAAGGCTGTTATCGCCAATGCAAATACCGTAGCCCCATTTGGCAGTCACAAACTGCCTTACATCCTACCCCAGGTAACTTTAATTTTTCATTTATAAACTTCTTCAACTCTATTCTATTATTGGCAAACTAACAAGCTGTATCTCTGTATTAGTGATGCTTAATTCTTCGGATGCACATATAGCTGTAGAAAATTCGGATGAAGTTATCGAAAGGAATATTCTTTGTTCAATCAAGTATATTGAGTTCAAAAAAGTAGATACACCCTAAAAAGTGTACACGTTCAGTGGGAATCAGTTAGCCAGGTTCGTTTGTTGGAAACAAGTACACGATGCCAGCTTCATTTGTTATGGTACGCCAATGATAAGGAACACGGTCTGGTTTATAGCCAGACCTAACCCTTGGCGGGTAGGTGAAAAGGACTACTTCCTTCAGATTTCTTCCCCTTGATGGTGATATGTGCCTCTTGTTGTTGTTGTTGTTGATGTTGGTTGGGTATCTTCATAACCTCTATCTTCTCTACATTTACTTGAAGTTCCGCCTTCGCTTCCTCTTCTATCAACTTGTTAATTTTTACCTGCGGATCTTTGAGTTTGTGCGATATTAGACATAAATCATCATTGTTGGTGAAATCCAAGTCTTCTTCTGGGGTTTTCTTATCGGTCGGACAGCGTATCCTCATCTTCTTGCTCCTCATGGGTCGCTGCGTGATCTAGTGAACCAGAATCAGGAAGGTCATTAGTGATAGTAGGCGGCAACCTTGTCTTACTCTTGTCTCCACTTCAAAGGCATCACTGAACTTTCCACTGTGAATCACCTGGCATGTGGCTACATCATATAGCTGTTGAATGAGGATGATAAAGGTACTTAGCACTAAAACCATAGAGTTGAAGCAGTTTTCAAATTACTTCTCGGTCAAAGCTATCGAAGGCCCTTTTAAAATCGATGAAGCTGATTCTCCAAATTAGCTTACTCAGAATTGAGACAATGACAAGGAATCTGAGCAACAAATGTGATTACAATAGCCGGATGGCTTCGTTTCTTGGATTCACAGGGCAGCAAGGTTAAACCTTTCCAAAGATCGGAGTGAATTTAAGATCTAGTCAAAATATTGGATCTCAGTTGTAAGAGCTTCAGGCCAATAGCCTAGTGGCCACTGGTTCAAATCACAAAAGACCCTTTGCTAGTTAATGTTTTTATTGATTCCCATCAATTGAGTATTCTCTAATTAACAATTATCCAGTAAAATCGATATCCATAATCTAAAGTTATTCAACACCACAGAACAAAAAGGAGAGAGAATGAAACAAGTAAAGAATCGTAGTGTATCTTTCAGGTGGAAGATAAAAGAGTGACTGTATCTGAATGATTTCTTCAGCAAAGGTGTCACGGGTCTTGTAGATTGAAGTATGCAATCTTAACCTGCCTAATCAGGCCTAGGTCAACTGTCTGAGACTTCATGAACTGGCTCGTTGTTATAACTGTGACATTCATATCATGTACAAGATGTATAAACATAGTAAGTTCAATCGATGGAGACTTACAACATCCTTCGCTTACAGTTCTACAGTCAACTTATGTGAAGGCATTATAAATCAAAAACTAAAAGTCTTCTCGGAACCTCCAGCCTCAAGGTCATGTTTCACAGCCACAAAACTAACCAATGTATCGTACAATTGACTTTTAATAAATATCTAAATATCTTACCAGCACCAAAGATTGCATGGGCGGGCAAAGGCTTATCAAACCTTCTTTATCTGTGCTGAGATCTGATTTGTCACCATCCACCCTAGATTAATTCACCTTACTACATAAAGTGATCGAAACACTCAAACAAATCAATTGAACGATGAAAAACCCATCATTGAAAGTGTTCAGAAAATCCCTAGCACTCTAGGTCATCCAAGAAGACTCCGAAGAAAAGAACAATCCTACTGTAGTTGAGCAAGGGTAAGGGGGCCCCTATGAGTACCCTTTTGGAACTGAATTCCCTATGCCAATTTCCTGTTGGAAATGTGACATGAACAATTCAATTCCTATATCATTAAGAAAATCAAAAGAAAATCACATGCATTACTGATACTCACCTTCATGGAACTGTAACAGCTCAGCTTTGGCTGCCTCTTTTGAATTAATCTTGCATAGATTACATATTAACCATGTTGGTTGTTTAATACTCAATATGCCTACAACAATAATCATAAGTCCTCCGATTATAGTTGTAATACACAATAGAGTTCGTATTACTGGTGTCAGTGTTTGTTGTTGTTGTTGTTGTTGTTGTTTAAAATCTTCACTTTCCACATATGTATTTATCATTGATAATTTTGAATCAATCGATTGTCCAATAGAATTTACAGAATAATTCATAAAAATCAATGATTCATTATCTTGTAATTTAATTTCAATATTAACAATAATTATACTTTTATATTGTATAACTTTACCATGATCTTGAGCTATAATACAAAATGTATAATTAGTAGAAAGGTGTTCATCATTGATTCGACGTATCAAGCTTAAACAACCACTTAATTCATCGATAACAAATAGATGATTTATAGGTCTTGTATTAGTTATTAATGATTTTGTACAATTTTCTTTTAAATGATAAGTGATTAATGAATTAATGCCTAAATCAATATCTTCTGCTTTGAATTGAATAAATGGATGTAAAATATCTTGATTAGTTTTTTCAGGTAAAATGATTGTAATATTATAGATTTGATTGGATATATCAAGTAATAATAGTTGATAATTCAATTGAGTACATGAAGTTTTTATTTCCATATTATTTGACTCTATTGATTTTTCTAATTTACCACATGAATTTAAAGGTAATATAAATACTGGAGGATTATCATTCATATCTAAAACTTTAATATCAATATGTATAGATTCTGTGTAAATAGGTGTTCCATGATCTTGAAATTGTAATGAAATTAAAAATAAATCACCATCAAATTCACGATCTATTGATCTCAGTGTAGTTATTATACCACTATTAGAATCAATAAGAATAGTATCTTCAGTTTTTTTTAATGATCCATTACATGTTCTAACTAAACTTTGTATTATATTGAATGTAACTCGACCAGCTTCACCTCTATCTGAATCATATCCTATAATTTGACCAATTAGTGTACCAGGTGGTTGATTTTCATATATTTCTAATTCATACTTTTTATCAAAATTATTTTTATATACTTTTAACATTGTACCATTAATATTATTTGATTGAAATAATTCTATTTCAGGTGGAAAAGAATTTACAATTATTATTTGTAATGATAAATATAATTGAGATGATTTTTTTGGTAAACCATGATCACTAACAATAATTTCATAAAGATATTTAATATTTTCTGAAATTAATTTAAGTGATTTACAAATAGTAATTATACCTGTAATATTATTGATTTGTATAAAATCAATTTTATTGATTATTGTTGTAGATTTATTTAAATTATATTCATTAATAAAATATTGATTGATTAATGTTAATTTATAAGTTAAAAGACTATTCAATCCACTATCTATATCAAGAACAGAAAATTTTATAATTGATGTATTTATTAAACATGTTTCTGGAATAATTATTTCAATAGGAATTGTTTTATATAATAATAATTTTTTATGAAAATCAAATAATGAATTAATATGATTAGATTCAATTGAATTAATTATAAATTGATTTTTATTTAACCATTGAGCTGGTGAAAAAATTTCAGGTAATAAAAATTTTGGAAAATTATCATTTTCATCTTTTACATGAATATTTAATAATAATATTGATGTTTTAGCTATTGGTTCACCGATATCTGAACAAATAATTGGTAAATGATGAATAGTTTGAAGTTCATAGTCTAATAATTCAGAAGAGATTATATAATAGATATTAAATTGATTATAATGTTTATTATTATTATTATTATTATTGTTAAATTCATATAGATTTTTAGGTTGTAAAATAAAATGTGAAGTATTCAATTTACATTGAACTGAACCATTAATACCATGATCTGGATCATTAACTTTTACAATACCTACTATTGATTTTATATTCAAATATTCACTAACCCATATATGTATAGGAATTAAAGAATTTTTTTTCAATGAAATTAATTGATAAGATAATAAATCATTATAATGAATATTATTAATAAATAATCCAGTTGAATTTAATATTTCTTTATAACCTAATAAATCAATATTTGGATTATTATCATTAATATCATCAATAAGTATAGTTACACTGGTCAGTGTAGATTTTGATGGTTGTCCAGAATCTTTTGCTTCAATTCTTAATATTATTTGAGAAATTTTTTCTCTATCTAATAATTTATTTAATTTTATTTCTCCATTCATTTGATCTATATGAAATAAATCAATATTATATTGATTATCAATAAGATAAGGTTCAATTTCTTTTATTGAATAGTTTATAATAGAATTTTGTCCAATATCCATATCAATAGCTTTAACTTGACCTATTATTGTACCTGGTGAAGTATTTTCTGATACATGGAATACATATTGTTTTTGTAGAAAAACAGGTGTTTCATCATTGATATCAGCTACATGAATATAAAGGTCCAAAGTACCAGTATTTTGATGAGATAATCCTTTATCAATAGCAATAATCTTTAAATTATATGAAGTATACACTTCTCTATCTAATGGTTTCAATAATTTTAAATATAATTTATTGATTTCTGATTGTTCATTTAAATGTAATGAAGTAGATGATTTTTGATTATTTTCAAGTATTAAGAGAAAATTTAGACTATTATTATTATTATTATTAGTGACAGAAAAAAGTTGTTTATTAAAACCTTGTGAATTTGATGCATTCACTAATGCAATATCATATGTTAACATTGAATTTATACCAAGATCTTGATCAATAGCTGATGGTAAACGATATATTGTACCTGGTTTATCACTTTCACTCATTATAATTTTATAATTAGATGGGCTAAACACTGGAGAATTATCATTGATATCAATTATTCTTAATTCAATATTAAAAAATTGCATAATATTTATATAATTTAACCAATGATCATTAGATTGTGTTGTTACTATCTCATCTATATCTGATATTGTATAAGTAACTGTATTATTATTATTATTATTATTATCAGATTGAGTTTTATTCAATGGAATCAATGCTAAATGTAGATAAATAGAACACCAACCAAGTAATTCTTGACAATTACATAACATTTTAGTATCTTCATTATAATTTTGTTGTATATATGAATTAGAATAAAAGTTATGATTGATTTTTGAATGAATTAGTCTTGAATTACTCTGAACATTGATATCAGGCCAATTGCATATAATCTCTCGATCAATTGACTTACGTAAAATTAAATATTGATTTGTTTTAAATGTATTTGATATTGATACTAATGAATGATTTATTGATTCATTTTTAATTTCGAAATAATTATAAAATGGTTGTGAAGTAGGAAATAAAACAAATTCATACATATATGAATATTGATCAAAATGTATATATTGTTCAATAGCATATTGATCAATACATAAATCTTTTTTTAAATTACTTACAGTCATAGGTACATTAGATTCTTCAATAATTTCATAACTGGCAATTATTGATCCTGATAATTTTGAACATAATCCATTCACTATAAAATGATTATTACCTATGAAATTATATTGCATAATTAGTAGATAAAATAAAATAAATCTGATAATATTAAAAATTTTGGCATTTTGCCACCATAATTCCATATTTTTCACATATCGATCATTAAATTCTATTTAAATACAGAACATATGAATATGATCAGTTTATTAAATTCAAAAGGGTATAATAAATTTATCAATCAATGTTTGTCAGATTCATAATAAACCTTTTTATCATTATAGTTGCTTGATGTAATCAACAGTTGTGTAATAAAATTCAGAAATTAATCCAAACATTTGATTGGTTAATTTTTTGGTATATTAAAAAAGGCCATTTGGATTTATCTGAATTTTCATTGGCTGGGCATAAATTATAGCCTGTACACAAAATATGATTTGATAATCATGACTGGTTGTGTGCAGTAAGAGGTTTGGCAATGAAATGATGTTTAAAAACAGCTTTAAAAGAAGAGAAAAACATTAGCAGGAAGAAAAAAATAAATCACAGAACAAGTTTTTCATTTTGATAGCATCATTTATTGATGTTGTACATGTGTATTCATGAGCGTACAAAACGAATAACCGCCAATTATTGATCAACAAGTTTTCATGAGTGCTGTAAAGAATTATTCTAAAAAGTTAAAGGGAATCATGTAATCGTACAATATTATGAAGATCATGGTAAAAGAAGAGATGGAACATACCACTTGAGAACATATAGTTCACGGTTGAATTAGTGAAACGTTTTGAACCGTTTGATTTGATTTTGTAGACAGTTGTGAAGGATAGCTTTGGAAGAGGATATACGACTGGAAATAACTGGATGTTCGCTCATATCTTGACAGTCAGGGGTGATAATGTTATGAAATACGCACATACATTGTATTTCCATAGGAGGCAAATTAAATTCTAGACACAGTCTTCAGGTTGTCTAAACAGTCAGCCTCTCCGTCATCTATCTGCGTATCACTCGTCAGTCAGAGAAGATTATCCGGAGGTTAGCGAAATAAGTATTTAGACAACTGGTTCTTCAGAGTCTTTGCTGTCGTATAACCGTTTGAGTAAGCAATTATGAATAGGATTTTTTCTAAAGCTGTTGGAAATCGTTGGGCAAGTGGTTTTGGCTTCAAAGTCCTGTTGACAAATTTACAGGAGTAGTTGTACTGGTTTTTTTCAATAAGGTGATCGATCTTTCATGGGTACCATTTATTCTTTTCCTATGCAGAATCCCCAGGAAAGCAAACTCATAGTTCACCTAAATATCTACAGGTAACTTGTTTAACTGCTGGAAGCCAATACATCTTTCAATTAGCGTCTGTTGACTACTATTCTCATCGAAGTTGATAGATGTATCAGCCAAACATCTCTTATGTAAAAGAAACTGTTCAGTTGTTGGCACTAACAGCATGTTTCGCAAATTTTTAGCAAAGCAATCAGCCAGTATGCAAGCAATCGTTGACTTCACTGCTACTTTGTAACTATGTCGCATGAACGATCGAAATTGGAAGCCAAAGAAGTAAGAGTGGGATAAAAATCTTCTTCCCAGGACACCACTGGTCAGAACTCAAGGTGAGCAAAAGCACTAGCCAAATATCTGTATCACATTAAAAAATGCTTCCATTCATTGTGAATTCGGTGCTGAAGATGTCACCAAGCTTGGTGATGAAACGTTAACGACAAGGAAGCCCAGAGGACACTAAACCATCAGTACAACTCTAGGTTGTATTATTTTACTGGAAGAGTTAGTTTTGCAAAGACGAATAAAAAGTGATATAACTTCATGTTTGATATTCACAATCAGGAAACACAACAGAAACATCGTTCCACTTTAAGTCACACTGTAGACAGGTTATTTTGCATGATACCGTGTTTCAGTGGATGCCTAAGCAGGCTAACCAACCTGGATTAACAGTCTGCTTCGGTGCATTTTGGCCTTCTTCTTCCATGTAATCTAATTATGGTCTCCTTTAGGTTTAGGCTCGTGTCGGCAGTTGCTTAACACTGAATGATACCACTTTAACTATTTACCGCAACATGAATCTGACATTGTTAGTCATTAGGTCAAAATTACTTGTTGGTAACTAACTTCATTTATTTCAAGTTGTTATTCACTGTAGACTGACATCAGTTGGAGGAACAAAGGAAACCTGGGAGCACTGGACAGCTGTTTCGTCCTATTATGGGACTCCTCAGCAGTGCGCACCCACTTCATTTAGATCGACTTGTTCATTATTGATATCTGTCATCCATTTAATTCTCCTGATGTTTCCGATTGTAGTCCAAATACATTTCCCTAAATGGGGGAAAAAATTAGACGATCATAACGAAGCGTCTGCTTAGTATAGAACGAAAGTCTAAACATAAACATTCAGTTTGATTTTTTTGTGTCCAGTCAGTATTTCGTCTACTGTTAGACACTACAGCACAGGGGGATCAGAGATGAACACCGTGACAACTGAACACAAGTAGCATAGATTTGCTGATTCGTATATATTGTTAGTCCCTTCATTATCAAACGTATCGTCTGAATATCTTCTTCAGTCAACCCTCCTTCCATCCAGTTTCACAATTAGCAAACAGTGATACGGGTGTATGGCATTGCGGATGTTCAAACTATTGCTTAAGCTACTTAAAATGACCCTCTAGAACCGCCTAATATCGAATATTTCCTTAAAGATTATGCAAGCTTGAAAGTGGCGATAAGTTGAAGATACGTCCCATGGTATCAGGTTAGGAAACATTCTTCATCGTTTCATTA